TTATGAATACATTAAAGTCCAAAGAATAAGTTAACCTCTGATGTTCCATATATACATTATTTACACATTGGAGAATAAGGCATTTACATCTGACAGTATATTTTCTTCATAACTGAAATGATAAATAGAAATATGTACATGTTGAAGGCAATTAGAATCTTACGGAATTGTATTATCATTCTTTAGTTAGAGACTTTAATAGAGTATAAAACAAGACAGAAAGAAAGAGAGCCCAGGACAATTTTCTTAAAGGTTTATGAAGAATTGTATTAGCCATATTAAAGATCCATCTAATAAAGTGGACAGTTAGATGTTAGAGAACTCTTCCTTTAATGTTGCTTTCCAGCAAGTGTTATACACTGGTATTCAATATCCCTAAAGATACAGATTCTGTATCTAATTACTGCTGAGCAAAATATCCTGTGTGAAATTTAGCAATCTATTTTTAAGGCAAGTTGACATCACCACATATTGTGCACATGTAATCAATAAATGAAACTTTATGAAAGGAAGTACTTTCTTCAATCAGTCTGTCTTAAATCATTTTCCAACAGCTTTATTGGATGGTTCTTATAGTTCCAATACTGTAAGAGATGGATAAAATCAAATATATCTCTATTTATTTTTGTAAAAGTTTTAATTGTCTTTTAATTAATTTAATTGTCCTTGACTATCACTAAGTGTTGTATCTTTTTATTCTTGATGAATGTATTTTATTCTCCTTATGTACACTGACAGCATATACACTAAAGACCAATTTCTTGTGTGCCCAATCACACTTGGCCACTAAAGAATTCTATTCTATTATATTCTAAAAATCTCAGTAAGAACCTTCAGTGATTGAAGGCAAATATACATGTCCCAGGATAACAGGAGTGTTGATTTACCACCAGTTTATCTGATACTTAGGAGCGGAGAAAGTAGCAGCACAAGGAAACAACAGCCAATTACCAGCCATCAACATACCAATCAACCAATAGGAAGGTGACACCTAAATACAACTCACAGAATAGCCCTAAGCACATATTCTAGTAGAGAGAAGTTTCCTGAAGATGTCCAGCACAAGTCCTAAACCTTGGAAGAGTAAACCTCCGGTACCAGTGACCGACCCAGATTCAATCTTGTAGAACCTTAACTTTTTAGGGAAAGTATATAACACTGTGCAGTTTTTGATGCAAACCTTCTCTAGTTGATATGCCAATTAAATGTATAACTTGTCAGATAGTGAATGTGCCCAAGTTCCTTTTAAAAAGATTTAATCTGTGTCCTGGCTTTATAAAATCTATATCAAATAGTTATGAAAATTTCCATTTTGTAATATTAGTAAAAATCTCCAAAGCTAAACTTATTTATAAGTATGACCATATATGATCATATACACCACACACTGGTTTATATAAATTATATAAACATTATTAATTTATATAAATTATACAAATATTAGAAATGATTGCTATTTTTTTAGAGATAATTTTAGGATTTCAATACCCAAGCCATGTTTTAGAGCTTTTAAGTCTCTTGGAAGTATTGGTTTTAAAGTGCTTTTTGTGGATTATAATCTGAATCACATAAATATAATTGTTAAAATACTAGAGATATTTCCATTTGGTTAATTAAACATAGTAAAGAAATTTCTGGCTTAAAATATCTACCATTAAATTAAAACAATTAAATCTTAGAGAGAGAAAATGAAATTTTTGAATGGAAGGTAAGACAATTTAAATCTTTCATGAAAAAAGATGATTAATTCTTCCTTTCCATAGTGGAATAAGGAATATATATTTGTTATAAATATTTTTATAGCATAATTAAAATACATGGAAGTTTCAAATACTAAGAGCTTCTGCCAAAATTAAGCATTGAAATTGTTGGTTAAAATTTAGATATATTTGGGAACATACTGGTATTTTAAAAGTCTTGCATGAAAAGTCTTGTGTACAACTGTACTTATCTTGTCCATGTGTATGGTAGTTTCTCTACCATTTTTCTTTATTGGTGATGTATGTAGTCATTTAAAAGCCAGACTGGTATAGCAGTAGGTAGAAATGGGGAGACCATGAGATCTAGTTCCACTTTGGGTATTAAGCCAACTGAGTGACCAAGGCAAGATCCTTGGTGGTGCACTGGACTAAACTATTGTTAAAGTAGTATTTAGCTGCCAGCTGCCTGTAATTACTGCGAGTTCAAATCTCACTAGGCTCAAGGTTGACTCAGCCTTCCATCCTTCTGAGGTAGGTAAAATGAGGACCCGGATTGTGGGGGCAATAAGCTGATTTTGTATAAAAAAGAACACCACTTGGGGGAGTCCCAAAAGCCCTACTAAGCAGGTATATACAAAAGTATGAAGGCTGTTGCTTAACGCATTGTAAGCCGCCCTGAGTTTCCAGAGAAGGCGGCATATAAATCGAACCAATAAATAAATAAATAAATAAATAAATAAATAAATAAATAAATAAATAAATAAATAAATATTCTCTTAGCCCTAGGAAGGAGAAAACATTTGGAAAAAACCTTGCTAAGAAAACTTAGACAAACACACATGTATATGAACACTAACTCATACATCTATACATGCATCCTTTACATTCTGTAAAGATATTCAGATTATAATTTTTTCACTATTCTGATGTCTTAATTTTAAATCCAAATTAAATTTTTGGATTTATTTTTCAGACATAAGTAAAAATAAGCTGGCCTATGTCTATTGTCCATTATGTATTTGTAATTTTTTCTTTGTCTTTTGGGAATAGTGCTTCTGATTTTATGTTATGAGAAGCCTATTAATATTTAACTGTGTGACCATTATAGATTAGGCTTTTTATATTTAATCAGGGATGGAAAAGTTGCAGGCCTAAACATATTATTCAACAATTTCTAACCCCCAACAGATGTTGGCTGTTTTATTGGGGATTGCTGGATCTACATCTTAATGGACACTGTTTCCTCTCTGTGCATTTTTACCATTAAGAACACAAGGTTTCTGCCTTCCTTCTCTTAACCTGTCCTGATAATCACTCTATCTATCCAGATAAATGAGTAATTCAGTTCAACAAGCAAAGAAGGGAAGAACTGGTATTGGGATCCCAAAAGGAAAAGGTGCTTCAGATCCATATGAGAATGCTTGCTGCCTTTATTGATGCTTCCTTAACACTATTTAAGGGCACATCCTAGGAAAATAAACAATTGAGTTAAGGAAGCACCTAGGGGACAAGGGGGGTGGGGAAGGGGGAGTAACAGATATGACTAGGAATGCCTATTTATAAGCAGTGAGTATTGCAGTAGAAGTACTTGGGTTTCATTTTGGTCTCAATCACTTAGGTGACCAGAAATCAGTATCCACCTTTTGGCTATTAATTGAATAGCCATTGAATAATTGAATAGCCAACAGAATGTACATGAATAACAAAATAGAAATCAGAAGCACTAAAGTATAAGTACTAGAGTCGAAAGGGCACGCTATGATTGGCTGCTGTTCTTACAGATATTACAGCCTATCAGCACAGAAGTGTCCGTGATGGAGTGGTAATTGTAACTGTTCCATTTAAATGTGAAATTGGAAGGCTTGTATGACAAAAAGCCTTGTCAACTGGAAATGCTCTTAGGAAAAAAAAGATGAGTAAATATAATTAGCTAGTGAAGAGCATTTGAAATTTTCTCTCTCACTGTTGTGTGTATGTATGTGTTTATATATAAACACATATGCTCTTCACTAGAATACTACATTCATTCGTTTTTTAAAATAATCTTGATCTTATCTATCTGTAGAGTACAAAATTCTAACAAAGATTCCAAACTACTTGTAACTACAATAGGGATTCATATAAGTATGCAACCAATTTAAAGTTATTTTGAGGATCAGTAACATCTTTGTCCTTCACTCATAGTACTTTTAATTTCTCAAAAGAGGGATGAGGAAATGGAAATGATTTCATTCATATATAAGATGAGACAGGTATATTAAAGCTGTCATCAATGAGTATGTATAGTATATTTTGTCTGAGAATTTTACAAAGTTAAAATAATATTTTCATAGACCAGAAGAATGGTTAACAGTTTTCATTAATATTTTACGAAATAGAGATTTCTTACCATGGCAGTAAAGATGACTATACATAGAAAATATATGAGTCTATGCAATATTAAACATTTTTAAAAGTACTATTGATTTTAAGTGCAAAAGTTTCAGTTTATTAGGACTGTTAATGTCCTAATAAATAGACATTAATAGACAACTAGTCATGTAAACATATTGTTGAGGATCCATTTCAAAAATAGAAAAGCTTGGAATTCTAAATTGTACAAAAATCTATGGCAGAAAAGTGAGATAAGAAAAATTATGAGGAGATTATTTGTTCAATGTACTTTTATACTGCTTTTTGGAAGGGGAGGTAAGGATGAGAATCAATTCAGACCCACATGAAGTTAAGATGTTAAACATTTATTGATATATAATAAGAGTTACAATTGGAATAGGTGTTTGTAAACCTGCTTATTTTTTTCTCTTCATAGATAGCCTCAGTGAATGTCTTGCTACATGCTATTCTTCTCCAGTGCTGATTGGTTTCCTTTCCAGATAATCTCTTGTCCCAATCATTTCTTTTGGAATCCATTGCAGATATCTATTAATTTTCCTATAGTAGCCAGGAATCCTCTTAGTTCTTAACACTTCCAGTGTCTGCTGCTTCTTGGCATCTACTTTTCTAGACATTCTTTTCATTGAAAGCATTAGCAATAGAATCTGATTCTCTTCTTCTTGCTTACCTTTGGCACATATACTTTGTCTTTGTTGTGATTCGCCAGCGGCCTGACAACAAGAAAGCTGACTGTGGATTGGCTAGGAGGAGTGGCCATAAACAAGCGGGAGTTTCTGACTGTTCTGATTGGGTAATTAGTTGACAGCTCGGAATATAAAAGAGCTGTCATATACCAGACAGAGGGTTCTGTTACGTTTCTGTTGCTGTTGGTTTCTGTTAATAAACATCATTAGCTCATGCCTCATTCGCCTCGTTAATGCCTCAGCCTTACAATATAGCACTGGTGATGAAGATGGGATAGGATTTCGCCCACACTCAGCTGAGCAATAGGATGGAAGAATGGTGCCGCCAACGTTTGCCCCTTTTGACGCACGAGAGGAGTCTTGGGACGCCTACATGGAGAGGTTTGAATGCTTTCTGGAGGCAAATGATTTTACTGACCTTTCCAGCAACAAAAAGAAGGCCCATTTCCTAGTGTTTGCGACCGCTCGGGCGTTGTTCGTCCCTGCCCCAGTACATACAATCTCCTGGGATCTGTTGCATGAGAAGCTTAAGGGCCACTACTCCCCGGCCCCATCCCAAATAGCCCGTCATTTTAAGTTGCAGCAAGTATTACAGGAGGAAGGGGAGTCAGTAAACCATTATGTGGCTAGGTTGAGAACCACTGCCCTAGACTGCAAGTACAGGGACCTAGATGATGCCTTAGTGGAGCAGCAGGGTCAGAGACATTAGACTGCAGAGGCGGCTGCTAGCTAAAAAAAATCTAGACCTGCAGACCACCCTCGAAGAAGCCCAAGCAGCGGAGATGTCCGATAAATCTACCGCGGACATTAGAAAGTTCTACCCTCCAGGGACCCCGGAGGCTACCACAGTAAATTTGCAGGACATTGCCTCTGACAGTGCTATGGATGAGGAGGAAGAGGCGGAGATCAGCCGCCTTCAGTTATCGAAATCCTGGAGCGACTGAAGAGAGGCTCTCCAACCTTTTGCCTCAGTTGTGGGGAAGAACACCCGAGGGCGACCTGTCATTTCAGGTTGGCAATTTGCCATCACTGCGGGAAACAGGGCCATATTGCTAGGGTCTGCCGGTCTCTGGCAAAGCCATTTGCTGCTCCGAAACTCACCGCCCCACAAAGGAGGACTGTTTTTCCATCTCTTGTGACTGCAGGATTACTGAGGTGACTGCTCATCCAGTTAAACCAGGGAGCACTAAACTTTCCATGACAGTTAACATTGAAGGCACCTCCTGCCCCATGGAAGTGGACACGGGGTCTGCTAAATCCATCGTCTCCTGGGGAGTGTTAAAAAACTGATACCAATGCTGTGAAAGAGCCAGCTGCAACCATGTCCAGTCAATCTGCGGGACTATCAGGGCAATTTTATTCCAATCCTGGGGCAGGATCATTTCCTTGTAGAAATGGAGGGATCCATGGGGCGCCTTCCTTTGATCGTAGTTAAGGGGTTCCTTCCTAGTCTGTTAGGAATGGATTGGTTTAGTTCTTTAGGATTGAAGATATCCGGGATTCACTCTATGTCGGTGGAAGGGTTAGATGGCCTTTTAAATGAGTTTGCCGACGTTTTTGATGGCACGTTAGGAAAATATGTGGGTTCCCCCATTTCTCTCAACCTAGACCCGAAGGTAGCCTCAATCCGGCTCAAACCACTCAGAGTCCCTTTCGCGCTCAGGCCAAAGGTGGACGCAGAGCTGGACAAGCTCATCTCCCAGGGGGTTCTAGAACTGACTGACCATTTGAAGTGGGAGACCCCTATAGTTGTTCCTATCAAGCTCAATGGCTCTGTGCGCATCTGCGCAGATTTTAAATGTACCCTGAATAGGGTTTTATAGGCAAATCCTTACCCTGTCCCTGTAGTCCAACATCTGCTTCATTCCCTTGAGCCAGGCTCCATTTTAGCTAAATTGGATTTGGCCCAAGCGTACCAGCAGCTCCCAGTGGATGCTGCCTTGGCTGAGGCTCAGACCATTGTCACCCACCAGGGTACGTTTAAATGTCAGCAATTGCAGTTTGGGGTGAGCGTGGCCCCAGGCCTGTTTCAGAACCTTATGGAGAGATTGCTCCATGGCCTGACCGGTGTGGTCCCCTACTTCGACGATGTGCTCATCTCCGCTTCTTGTCGGAGTGAGCTCATCAAGCGAGTTAGGGCTGTCCTTCTCCGTTTCTGCAAATCTGGACTCAAATTAAAAAGAAACAAATGTGCAATTGGCATTACCCAAATTGAATTCCTTGGCTATATCATTGATGCAGATGGGATCCATCCCACTCCTTCCAAGGTTGCTGCAATTAAACATGCAGCCGTGCCCACCTGCCGTGTGGAGCTGCAATCCTTCCTGGGGCTGTTAAATTTTCATAATGTGTTCCTGCCCCATAAAGCCACTGTAGCTGAACCCCTTCATCGGCTGCTCTCCAAAGATATGCCATGGTCCTGGACCAAAAAGCACTCCTGCATGCTTCAAGGGGTCAAACATCTCCTCTCATCTTCTGCTGTCTTAATCCAATACAGTGCAACCTTGCCTCTTACACTGACAGCTGATGCTTCCCTTTACGGGATTGGCGCAGTTTTGAGCCATAGGTTCCCCAATGGGATAGAGGTGCTCATAGCATTTTATTCAAGGACTTTGTCCTCAGCGGAATGCAAATACAGCCAGCTGGATCGGGAAGCCCTGGCTGCCATGGCGTCCATCAAGCAGTTTCACGAATATCTGTATAGGAGACAGTTTGAACTGGTGGTGGACCATAAGCCCCTCTTGGGTCTTTTGGCGGGTCACCGTCAGACGCCGCAAGTTCTCTCCCTGCACATGTCCTGGGCTGTCTTCCTGGCCACATATAACTACACCTTAGTCTACTTCCCCAGTAAACTGATTCCCTATGCAGATTCCCTGAGCCGCTGCCCTTTGCCGGCGCCAGTATGAGACCCCGCCCCAGCCCTACCCATCCTTCTATTAGATGAGATCGCCTTACCGGTGACCGCCACCGACATCGTGGCTCACTTCCTACAGGACCAAGTTCTATCACAAGTCCTTAACTGGGTGACCAGGGGTTGGCCATTGGGCAATTCTCTCCTTACCGGGCCCGTCAGCACGAGTTGTCAGTGCACCTGGGTTGTCTACTGTGGGGGCATAGGGTGGTGGTTCCTCTCACGTTACGGACCAGGGTTCTGGAGTGTTTACACGCAGGGCATCCCGGCATTGTCCAAATGAAAGAACTGAGCTATGTGTGGTGGCCTGCATTAGACTGGGATGTCTCTGAGTGGGTTTCAAGGTGTCAGAATTGTCAAATGGTTTGGCCAGCAGCACCTGGGGAATGGGAAACCCCCAGGGGACCCTGGTCGAGGATTCACCTAGACTTTGCCGGCCCCTATATGGGCCAGACCTTCCTGATCGTGGTAGATGCTCTGTCGAAATGGGTGGAGTTGGAACTGATGACATCGACTACTTCTGAGGCTACAATCCAGGTTTTGCGCTGCCTATTTGCCACCCATGGCCTGCCGGATATAGTAGTGACTGATAATGGGCCACAGCTAACGTCCACCACTTTCCAATCCTTCTTAGCTGGGTTAGGGATCCACCACGCCCAGGTTGCCCCTTACCATCTGGCAGGAAATGGATTGGCTGAACGGGCCGTCAGATCAGCCAAGGAGGCGCTTGCCTGGCTATTACCTGCCAACTGGCAGGAAAAGGTGGCCATCTATTTATCCTCCCAACACACGACCCCTTGCCCTACTACCCACCGAAGCCCCGCCGAAGTGTTAACGGTTACAAACTGTTTTAGACCGTTTACACCCCACCTATGTCCCAGAGGGTCATCGGAATGCCAGTGGGGGCTTATGGTGTTAAAGGAGGGCGATCTAGTATACACACAGAACTTTGGGGGTGAGCCACATTGGCTGCCAGGACTAGTGACAGTGGTAACTGGCCCCTGCTCTTACAGGATACTGTTGAATGATGGCCGAACATGGCACTGACACGTGGACCACCTGAGGGTACGCCAGACAACCCACCCGATGGTCCCGGACAGGGAGGCCCCTTGGACAACCTTCTATGATGAGCCTACTCCCGGCCAGTCCCGGCCGCTGACCAGCCACCATCTGCGCTGGAAAATCAAAAAGCATCTCGGACTTACCGACTGCGGCCGCACCCTCCACCGAACAGGAGGAGCTATCAGCAGCGCCATGTCCTGGAGGTGAACCTGCCTCTTCCCCGACCGCGCCTGCATTGAGATGAGCTACACGGGTGCGTAAGCGCCTGGAATACCTAAAAGATTATGTATGTTCCATCCGGGGGTGAAGGAGTGTTGTGATTCGCCAGCGGCCCGACAACAAGAACGCTAGATACATACATACTATATACATACTAGATTGTATGTGTTTCAAGTGTTTAGGATCTCTTTGTAACTGGCTATGTACCCTCAATCATGCATCTGATTCTCAGACAAGCAAGGAAAATAAATTGGAATACTTTTAATCTTAACATGCCAAGAAGAGTGTCTGCCTGAATGGACAGATATAGGATGACAAATATTTAGTTTGGCAACATAATTGTATTTTTTGAAATAATAATTAATTGCCAACTGAAATCAACCAATAGTATGATATAAAAAAAACCACAATGCTTTTAATGCTGTCTCAGCATAAGTACAATCTCCAAGTCATGTGAAATAAAGATATTCTGCTTTGGCGAGATTCCATCATATGTACTATATTCATTTTTACCTTAAGAAAGATTGAGAAAAAATGGAAGATTTGCAGAGAAGGGCAACAAGGATGAACAGAAGATTATAAATTAAGCCCACAAAAGCCCATTAAAGAAGAATTCAGGATTCATCCATGAAAAAATATAACTGAGGGCTAATATTCTAGTACTTTTCACATACCAGCAAGCTGTCATACAGAATATGGTCAAGATCTGTTCTCCTTCTTTCCAGAATTCAAAATATACTGATAATAGATTTAAGATAAAGAAAGATTATTTCAGTTTAATGTTAGGAAGAAAAAACATCATCATAATAAGAGCAGTTCAACCACAGAATCAACATCACAGCATAGAGATTTTTTTTTTAAAAAAATAATGCATTAAAGCACTCTGTATTGGATTATTTAATTTGGACACTGCACTTAGCAAAAATTGAACTCAGTGACCTAATTGATTTATTCTAAACTTGGAATTCTATGATACATGCTGTTTAAGATTTTTATAAACTATTAATCCAAAATTGAACCTGACCCATAGCTAACTGATAGCCAAAGCAGTTGCTTCATTTTAGATGTAATATGTTCATGGTTATTTGGCTTGATAGAAGTAAGTCTCATTTATTAGGAATCATACAATCCAGCACTGTTTTTAGGCACAAGCTGAGGACATTTATAGCATTAGACTTTATTGACAAATAGATGAACTTAACTTCCAAATTCTGGATGATAGTCCTAGTGGCATCATATGCATATTAAAGAGCATTAGTAGAAAGATATTACAGTCTACAGTATAAGGTCTAAGACACAATAATCAATACAATTGTCTTTTCAGTCTCCTTATAAAAAAGCGTCCAATTGTCGTCTCAGAGGAAAGATTTATTGTTGTAAGTGGTATCAAAAGCTGCAGAGATATATAGCAGAATCAGTACAGTCACATGCCCTCTATATGTTTCTCTGAGACAGCATCTATGAAGGCAGCCACAGATTTTTCAATCATAAATCAGGACCCCACAATCTGGGTCCTCATTTTACCTACCTTTGAAAGGATGGAAGGCTGAGTCAACCTTGAGCCTGGTGAGATTTGAACTTGCAGTAATTGCAAGCAGCAGATGTTAATAACAGTGCTTTAGTCCACTGTACTACAGGCTCTGTCTCTACTTGCATTTTTTACGTGCTTTCGAACTACTAGGTTGGCAGAAGCTGGGACAAGTAACGGGAGCTCACCCCGTTATTCGGCACTAGGCGTTTTGAACCGCTGAACTGCCGACCTTTCGATCGACAAGCTCAGCATCTTAGCCACTGAACTACTGCGTCCCTTAATAAGTACTTAAACAGTTTAAAAAGCTTCACCAGAGGGCTACTTGGGGACCAATGTAGCTGCTAATAAACACAATGATATTATTTCTTGATGTTCAGTTAGCCTTATGGCAGTTGTTCCAAACCTGGGTTCTAGCCTTTTCCTGGCAGGCTTAATTATCTAGACTTCTCCAAAAACTAGGAAGAGTATTGAGAGCAATTTATAAATGGTTCATTCAACCAAATATGACTCAAAAAGATTGAGTTGATCTGGTAAACTGAACAAGACTGTGTCTATATTTTGTTTGGAAGTATTTGTATTTTGGCATATTTGTAGCATTATGCTACACCATTTTCCTATTCTAATAATACATCTACATTATTTTTGCAAAATGCAGATGTTCTAGTGAAAAATATTGTTGACTCTTGTAAAATTTCAAAGTGGAAGAAGGAGAGCAATAAAAATCAAGTAAACTACAAAGTGAAACTGAAAGAATAACAAAGAAGCTAATGATCTGTGCCTTGGAACACACTGGTAGCCAAACCATCATTTGGTTCACTTGACATTGTAACAGAGGTTAATGTAAAAAGGACATTTGAAAAAGAAAGAAACCTTTAAGAAATTGTATTTCACAAAGTGTTCAATCATTAGTTATTACCCTTGTATGTTTGAGAAATTATCCCATCTGTCTTTCTAACAGGTCCCTGACATAAAAAAAAAAAAAAGATATTTAGAACCTTGCAGAATATTTACAAAACCTTATGTCAGTCACCAGACAGCCAAATAAAATAGTCACAATATCAGAAATTCCATACTGAATGCTGTGTCAAAATCGCAAATGTGTAGGTAATTTACGTCCTCTAGATCCAACAAAGAATTGTCTGGAACTTTAAAAGGAAAAAAAAAACACCTTCAGATATTAGCAATATTCAGTTATTAATCTCACAGGAAACTATCTGTTAAAATATAGAACGAGAGTTAGTCATTGATGCAATTTATATTATTAAGACTACCAGGGAATCATTTTCATGAATGAACATTTCCCTGGATTTAAAGCAATGTCTTCAAATTATTTTCTGTCACATATTAACAAGTCTGTTCTCCTGAAGTGGCATTTTGGTCAGTCGGGTTGATTCTTTCTTACAGGATGTGTGAAGTTTTGATTGCCTAGAGAAATAATTTGAAAGTCACAGCTACACTTCCTTTTCCTGGAAACAGCCAAGGGCTAAGAGATTTTCTTTCCAAATGCTCTTGTCAGGATTTTCTATAGATAAAGATTTCTTTCTGCAATATTTGCAGTGCAAATAGAAGAAAGGTTCTATAATTTTCTCCCCAGCACTTAATTAGTCTATTAAATCATATTCATGATAAACGCTTCCTGATTTTGTCACATTTAACTTCAGCCTTTCAGAAAGATGACTGTCTTTAGATGAAGCTCTCTACAGCAAAAAATTAATGCAGGTGCTTGCTTGCTTTCCTTTTCTTTTCTTTCAATCAGCTGCTACACACACATATATAGTATCTGTTAATTCTACAGGGGAAACAATAAATAAACATAGTAATAGACAAGGAATGAAGAAAAGGTGTACAGCTGACAACAAAGAGAACAATCTATTGATATAGAAGATCAAGTATTTTAAAAACAGAATGCATTTCACTCTTTTCACAGTAACAAAAGTTCCTGCATGTTATCAAAAATATTTCCATTATATAACAAGATCTCTGGGACTAACAGAGTGAAGAAATAAACACATTAATCATACTATTCAATGGTTTATGCTACATCTAAAAAGGTAATAGCAAGACAAAATAACAGCAACAACTAAAAGATTTTTTTATCTGAATTGTTTTTGTCAATCTTTAGAATTCTGGAATTAAAAAATCAGCACGAAAATACAAGTGATCTCCAGACCTATTTCCATACTCTTTTTTTGGCTGTCACAATTGTACCTCTGTTTTATGTTTATACTCAGTATAAAAGCAATCAAAAGATAATCAAGATAATTGAACTTGTAATAACAAGATATTTAAACTCTGTGTTTAGTTGTATTCTTAGATTGATCTCAATAAGACATGTGTAAAGTTATTCCCATCATAATATATACATTTCTCAAAACATGTTCTTCTGTATGTTGTCAGTCAAGTCCATGTCTCTATATGCATATCGAGGATAAACTTGGGTGGCAGTACGTCTTGCAGTCCTGTGGATATGCTTTATTTCCCCTTTTGTTTCTCAGATTTATAGGATCAGCACCACATTTTTCTAAGCTTGATTTTGGCTTGTAATACTGACTTGCTATGATGTCATAATAAATGTATTACAAAGAACTCTTCATTTTTGTTTTGTTGTTTATTTATTTATTTAATTTGTATACCGCCCTTCTCCAACAGGACTCAGGGCGGTGAACAGCCACGGTAAAACACAACATATAAAATTTAAAAGCAGTTTAAAAGACATTAAATGATTTTGGCCATCAATTTAAAACAACCCAGTTAAAACCAATTTCAAATTAAAACTGCAAGGATGGGATCAAGCCAGTTGTTACATATTTACTGTTTTCACTGTCAGAAAACTTGTAGGATTGACCCCCAAAATGAGACTTGTTCAGACTAAGGCATTTTCACAGGACAGCTTTTCCATTATTTCCATTCTTGATTCAATACTGCATTGATATGATCTTTTAAGATGTATTTCTGATTCAGCTATGGTACATCCAATAACACTTCAACCAACACTTTTTTTTTTTTAATGTGGTCATATTTTGGAAAAATCTGAGAAATTTCCCATTGGTGGAGCTTCTTGGCAGCAGAACTCCTGATTGCAGGGATTAATATAATTTCTGCATCCTCCCCATAGACTAGAGTTTGTACTAAATATTCTATGTACGTTCATTCATTGTACTAGGTATATACTTGTATGAATGTCAGTCTCATTATGTATACCAGATCATATAGTATGCTTTACTCCTTCATGATGAGACAAGCAACAAATAGTAGTCCATGCTGTATATATTCTGGGAAGGATTTTGTCTTTAGTCAAGCATGTTTAAAAAACAAAAATGATCTATACTGGCTGGGAAAATAATCTAAACCCAAAGAAATAAAAGCTTTTGAGTAGAAACTAAATCTGCCTGTTTTAGTTGTTGTTCTTAATATTGTTGGGATTTATTAATTTCATTATACCTATAGTTAAAATTGTTCTTAAAATCCATGCACCAATTTAGCCCATATTTTTTTTCCATTTGTGCTAGTAAAGTTATATAGATTGTAGCTAGTTTAAATTCAGAAAGTGTAACTTAATTGATCTGTAATTATTTTGTTTTTTTAAAAACACATTGAATTCATTCCAGGCAAATTGTGACATAAAAGGAATATAATGTAAAAAGAATTGATTTAAAGATTAAGTGAAAATGTATAATTCTTGAGAAAATAGATACAGATTTAGCTTTGTGGAGGAATGTTGCAGCCCAGAGAAGAGAGAA